AACAGCCGGCATTGTAGTCTACTCTCCCAGGATCAGGAAACAGTCCTCCATAAAATGTGCTGCACACATCTGAATATTTGGGTTGAACTGTTCTGTAACAGTGTTGTAAATACAACTTAACCACTGATTTCTAGTCGTGTCCATTTTTGGAAGAACAAACTAAGTATTTTCGCTTTCACAACGAAACACAGTGTCACACACGGTGGCCTAGAGTGAGGAACGGCTGGCGGGCTAGCGTGAGCAGAGGCGGGCAGGCTTGAGAACGGCTTTGCCTTCAATTTAAAGGATAGTGTAGATCATAACTAAAGTGGTCAAATTATTATTATTATTATTATTATTCATACCAATGTACATAGTTCTGATGTATTTAATAAGACTGAAAATTACTTATTCAATTTAAAAACAATTACTTACTCTAATGAAAGGGCCCAGGGAGGCATAATTAAATGGTTTGTTGTTTCTTGTTACAATAATAATAATTATTATTTTGATAATTTACTAAATTAACACATTTTAACAACTCTGCTATTACTATTAATATTTTTCGCTCCTACTCACTGTATAAACGCTGAGCCTAAACACTCTGAACTGTCAAATAAGAACAAATATGCAAATTAAGCAGTCATTAATTTCTATAGAATCTGCTAGTGCAGAAAAAAATGGAGAAGAAATTAGTCTTCAAAAAAAGCAAAAAGCACATTTATCAAACCTGTAGATTGCAGTTTAAATTGTTCATTATGTTTGCTATTGCCAAGTGTGGGGTTTCTGATTGGAAAAATGTGCACGTTATGTCACACTCGCTGTGCATGGCTCTGACTGTAAGGAATACAGATGGAACAAAACAATATGCTGTTTAAATTTTTTACCCGTTTTTCACTCTGATGATGAATTTATTTCCACATCCTGACTTTGCTGTGATACTGGAGCACGTGCTTTTCCACCCGCGTACGGCCTGATGCAAACTCCTCCAGTGCAGCTGGTAATGGAAACTGCGACACCGGCTGCCACTTCAAACACATGCTGAGATAAAAGCCTGACAGAAGAGCATCTCGCTCTGCGTGCTTTTATATCTCATTCAGAACTATTGCAAAAATCTCTCTTTCTCACATACCAGATCCTCCTCAACCCTCACCACAGCCTTCATGTAGATTACAGCCGCTTGATCTTGAAAGTCAACAACTGAAACAACATCCCATTTCAGCTGACATCATCATGACGGCACGGGAGGAGAAAATAGCCAAGCATGTTTCAACCACTTCCCTTCAAGCACCTGTCTGCTGCAAGCCGTGACCACCACAAAAAACAAGGCTGTTTTTCCTCCCAAAACTCCATGTTCCCAAATTAACCTGCTTAGGACTCGCTGGCTTTATGCTCTTTGAGGAAAATCAGAGGGGTTGTCATTGTGTTTGAGGCATATTTAAGTTGTTAATTTTTCATTTTAGATTTTTTTTAACCATTTCAGAATACAAATTTTAAATTAAGTCAATGCATTAATTACTTTTTTTCATAATCAGTTGTGAAATTAAATAGCAATTTCTGAGTGAAAATTGTATCTATATCACTATATATATATATATATATATATAAATTCCCAATTTATTTACTTGCCGTTATCCAAGCATGATGGGAATTTCAGTAATGTCAATCTGATCTCATCATAAAACGTAACAATTTTGAACAAGTGAGATTCGCACTAAAACGTACGATTTTAGGAAAACCGTCACGTGGGTATAAGCAGATCGTACATATATATACATTCTTACGAATTAGCCATGAACTCGCCAAAACTTCATTACGAATTGCCATGAGATTGTGTTGGTAATATCAACCGCAAAAATTAAAGTGACTTGACTTTTCTGTAAAAATTTGTTAACTGGTAGATTCACTGAAAAATGTACATGATTTTATCTACACTGAATCAAAATAATACCTAATACCTAAAGCATGCTGGGAACTACGTTTTTAGGCATTCCAAGATGACCACATAAAAATGTAACCTTTTTTCAAGGTGGCGATTTCATATGAATTTGTACGATGCGAGTCTTACAAAAACATGACATTTTTAGAAAAAAAAATTATTATGAAGGTCCACCCCAAACATAACCGTCACTTGGGCATAAACATATCGTATGAAAACATACAAATGAGATTGTACAAAAATCTTATGAATTACCCACCAATTCACCAAAACTTGGGTACGAATTGTCACGAGATTGTGTTTAGTAACGTTAACCGCAAAATTGAAAGTAACTCGACTACTCAGTGGAAATTAGCTTACTGGTACATTCACTGAAAAAAGGTGTGAAATTTACATGATTTAGATTCCACACAAATCAAAATAATACCTAATAAATTTTTTCATGAGATTGTGTTGTTAATGTCAATAGCAAAAGTGAAAGTGACTCGATTTTTCAGTGGAAAAAGTTGTTGAATTTACATGATTTAATCTTTACATAAATCAAAATACCTAATTTCAACATTACTCTCCCCATTATGCTATCCGAGCATGCTGGGAACTACAATTTCAGTAATGTCAACATGATTTCATGAGAAAACGTAACTATTTTACAAGGTGGCAATTTCGTATTAATTGCCCCTTCCCGTCCCCCTCCCCCTTGAGGTCTTTGACGTCTTTTCCTGTTTCTTAGTGTTGGGGAGTGAAAGCAGCAACGCTACTAACTAAACATTCATCAGGAGTGTGACAGCAACTCAGCTGCTCTCCACACACAGTAGCTTTTCTAGTAACTAGCAGTGTAGTGTGACATTTGTTGACTTCTTTGGGTACACCTTTACAGTCGTGTGAACTGAGGCATTAATCAAACCTGCTCTGCTAAAACATCCACACACATGTGGCTCTGGGAAGTCTATTTTTTTTCTAGTTAATCAGTTTGTTGTTTTTGAAGCAAATTCTGTGGCACTGCTGGTTACCCAGCATGCTTTGCGGCTGGGGTCAAATCCTAACGAGTTTGATCTGATTACTTCCTTGGACTATAAAAGTGTGTGAAATGAGTTTAGAGGGGTGTCATAGTTCAATATAGAGTAGTTGCAGATTTCAATGCAATATAGCACGTTATAATGTGTGTTACCATTGTTGAGATTTATTGTCCAAATATTTTAGTGTTGAATTGCTGATGGTTGTTTTTTTCATTCTTTTTTTCATGGTTATATCTGCTTTTATCATGATTCTTACTGCTGATATTATAGCATGACATCAACAAAGTCATCCTAAATATAACAAACATAACATTTTGTTATTATATAATTATATATATATATATATATATGATTAGCATATATGATGACTGTGATAGCACACGCACATCATGGAGTCTATTTGGCATCTGCATTTACATCTGCAAGACGCATTTTTTAGAGTGTTTTCTCATATGCAATACGTCTATAGGATGTTTCCTATTAGATGTCAAATAGACATTTAGAAAATCTTTAAGATGTTTCTGATTTAGAATGTATGTACAAATGACATCTTAAAGACGTCTATCAGATGTTTGTATACAGCAGATGCTTTCCAGGTGAAGCAATCTTTAACAGACATACAGTATGCATACATACATATATATATATATATATACAGGTGCATCTTAATAAATTAGAATGTCGTGGAAAAGTTAATTTTATTTCAGTAATTCAACTCCAGAAGATAATCATTGACACCCTTCACAAGGAGGGTAAGCCACAAACATTCATTGCCAAAGAAGCTGGCTGTTCACAGAGTGCTGTATCCAAGCATGTTAACAGAAAGTTGAGTGGAAGAAAAAAGTGTGGAAGAAAAAGATGCACAACCAACCGAGAGAACCGCAGCCTTATGAGGATTGTCAAGCAAAATCGATTCAAGAATTTGAGTGAACTTCACAAGGAATGGACTGAGGCTGGGGTCAAGGCATCAAGAGCCACCTAGAGAATCTATGGGGTGTTGTCAAGAGGAAAATGAGAAACAAGAGACCAAAAAATGCAGATGAGCTGAAGGCCACTGTCAAAGAAACCTGGGCTTCCATACCACCTCAGCAGTGCCACAAACTGATCCCTTCCATGCCATGCCGAATTGAGGCAGTAATTAAAGCAAAAGGAGCCCCTACCAAGTATTGAGTACATGTACAGTAAATGAACATACTTTCCAGAAGGCCAACAATTCACTAAAAATGTTTTTTTTATTGGTCTTATGAAGTATTCTAATTTGTTGAGATAGTGAATTGGTAGGTTTTTGTTAAATGTGAGCCAAACTCATCACAATTAAAAGAACCAAAGACTTAAACTACTTCAGTCTGTGTGCATTGAATTGATTTAATACACGAGTTTCACAATTTGAGTTGAATTACTGAAATAAATTAACTTTTCCACGACATTCTAATTTATTGAGATGCACCTGTATATATGATTAGCAAAATATGAGTTTCTGTTAGTTACTTTGTTTTCAAGTTTGTAGCACTTTTTTAACTAATCTTTGTGAAATAGCCATCCGGATTTATCATTTGAAAGATTTACACATTTAAAAAGATGTAATCCTCTTAAAGCTTCATTATAGTTGGCTACACTACAAAATGTAGCTAACTACTTTTTCAGAAGGTTAGTTTGACTGTAGCTTGAAGCGTTGGAATAGTGGCTACAGTTTCATAGTGGCTTCCAACCCTGGCTTTGGATGAAAGCTACTTGTTCAGCTATCTGCTAAATGAATGCATAAAACTGTGTTTGAGGCATTTGACTCTTAAAATGCTAAAATGTAAGGCAAAACACAAACTGAGCTTCTCTAAAGCTGTCAACATGAAATCAAAATGAACATAATGACATTTTTAATGCATGCTCCTAGTA